GGCTGCGGCTCGGCTCCCCCGGCCCCTCCGCGCCCAACTTCGGGGAAGTTCAAGTTCCTCCCCCCGCCCCCCCCGGTCCCTCTCCAGGGATGAGGGTTCTGCAAAAAAAAACCCCGAAATTCGGCCAAAGCGGCGGGTGCGGCTGCGGGGGGGTCGGAAATAATGATTTTGGGAAAAAATGGCAAAATGGATTTGAGGGAGGCACAGGGGATGCCGGGGACCGGGAGTGCGGAGCTGGGGATGCCCGGCCCTGCTGCTCCCGGGTCATTTCCATCCTGGAAGCGCAGTCCCCACAGTTGGCTTCGTTTCCTGACTCCAGTTGGAATTTCAATTTTTCTGTGTGTTTTTTTCCCCACCGAGTGGGTTTTCTTTGGGGTGCAAGAGTTTCGTTTCTGTCGTATTTCTTTGTTCGTGGTTTTGAGGAACCAAAAACTGTTGGTGAGTTGGGAGCAGGAGGAATTMTTCTCTGGGAATGCTCAGGTGGTTGGGACCCTCGGGACCCCCCAGCCGCCCTTTGGGGACACCCTACGGGCTCTGAACGGTTCCATTTGTGGCAACTCCTATAAAAACARAAACCAGCCATCAAACCCTCATTTTCCCCAAAATCCCTCAAAGTTCTCMCAAGCCTGGCAGTGTCTGTGAGCAGTGAGGGATGAGTTTGGTGGGTGCTGCTGTCCCCGTAGCCCCCGGCTTTGGGCTGCCCTGTTTTCTGGGTCAAACAGGGGGTTCTTTGTCCCCCTCAATCCCTGCGTGATGAGGGGCCTCGAGGAGCACAGCGTGGCCTGGTCCTCGTCCCCTGGGCTGCCAGCGACGTGAGGCAGCTCCTCCAGCAGCGGGTGGCTCATCCCCTGCTGCCATCCATGAGGGGACCCTCGGTGCCACCTCCTGTCCCTCCATGGCACCGGCGCAGTTGGGTGAAGTTCCCGGCAGCGTTTGGGCGCCGGGACGTTCACGGGGCTGAGGATCCTCAGTGGCACCCGGCGCCCATCCGAGCTCCACGATCCCTTTGGGGGGACCCACCCGTGTCCCTCGTGCCACCCCGAAATTGGGGTGAGCCCGTCCCTTTGTGCCTTGGTGGCGGTGCCTTGGCGGCGGTGCCTCCACCGCGGGCCGCCCGTGGTGCATATGGATTTTATTATCTCCCTCACATTTTTGTGGAGGATTGTAAGAGCCAGGGAATTACATATTTTTTTTTTTTATTTTTTTTTTTTTTTTTTTTTTTTTTTTTTTTTTTTTTTTTTTTTTTTTTTTTTTTTTTTTTTTTTTTTTTTTTTTTATGCCCATTGCGAAGTTTTTGGTTTCGTCTCCCGGTTCTCCCCCCACAGCTCCCACACTTTGGGCTCTTTTCTTTTGTTCTCCCAAATGCCAAACATGTGTGAGGGAACCCCCACCCCGGTCCAACTCCAACATCCCGGAGACGAGGGCGGTTGGGGCGGTGGCTGGGATTTGGCACCCAAAGGTTCCTACGGCTGGGATTTGGCGCCCAAAGGTTTCTGACATTTGGGATTTGGCACCCACGGGTTCCTGGGGATGGGATTTGGCACCCAAAGGTTCTGACGGTGGTGCCAACAGCCCAAAGTAGCCCCTTGGCTGCTGGTGATGGGCGTCCCGGGACCCGGTGATGGCGCCGGCTCCATCCCCTTCACCCCCTCGTCGAGGCCGCCRACAATTCCTCCTCGAAAAATCCACGGCGGATCGTTATTCCATAGCTCCATAGATTTAAATATTTCCAAATCTGCTGTTGGCAGGGAAAATATTTTCGAGGATTGGGGTTGGGGTTGGGGGGGGGGGGGGGGGGCTGGAAATAAAAATGGAGCGGAGGAAAGCGCGAAGGGCTGTGAGGGAAGAGCAGACAATGGCTGGTGGGTTCAGCAGGCACGTCCGCAGCGCCTGGCTCCGGGATGTGACCCAAATTTCCCCAATGTGGGAGCGCCCCGTGTCGCCAGCGCTCCCCGCCTGCGCCTTTGGCTCTCGGAATTCGAGGCAATTTATTAGGGGCTGCAAAGATTGAAATTGCCATTGAGTTTCCTGCTTATTCCCTTTTTGAACCCAGCGGTGGGTTTATTTTGTCTCTGGAGTTACTACGAGAGCGTCTCATTCTTAAAAATGAAGGAAAAATGTATTTATGCTTTTTTTCGTGGCTCGTTTTTGTTCTTTTTCCCAACATCTCATTTAATAAGGGGGAAATCAAAAGGGGTTAAAAAAAAAAGGGGAAAAGACCCAAGGTTAAAATGCCCTGTTTGAACCCACAGACCTTCTTGCCACTAAATATTTTTCCTCAGGTTTATACAGCAATCTATATTTTATAAAAAAGACAGGAATAAATCTCATGGTCGATATGATTTACCCAGATTAGAATAATTCTATATTTCATAATTGGGGCTAAATTAAAAATAAGTGGTACCTCGGGATGCTGCAATTTCCCTATTCTGGGGAGAGATTTAACCACTCGCTGTGGATTTACAAGGTTTATTTTTATTTTTAAATGATTTTTGGGAGGATGCGCTGGGAAAACATTCGGCTGGATGGAACTCCTGGGTTATCCGGGAAAAAAAAAACCAAAGGATGATGAACGTAGAATTATATAATAACGGGCAGTTTTGGTACCGTGTGGATTTTTGCTCCGTGCCACGTACGRGCGCTGCCGATGGGCAGTGGATCCGTTGGCTGTGGCTGGGCCGGTGGCGAGTGGATCCATTGGTCATGTCCGAGGTGTTGGACCCATGGATGGGATTTTGGGGCTCTCCCCCAGTCTGGCACCRYGGGCAGGGGTCCGGCACGACACRCAGGGCTCTTCCCGCCGTCGCTCCRTGTTTTCCGGCCGGTGATGCRGGAACCCCTCGCCCGTAGGATTCTGAGGTGGATTTGCCTTGGGAGCCAACTGGGTTGAGCTGGAGGTGCTGGAGTGTCCAGAATCACCAGCAGGTTGGGGTGTCCAGTTTTGGCCCCCACGCCGTGGAAGGTTTGGGGTGGACGTCTCGGCGCGCGGAAAAAAAATCAAGGATCTGGGAAAACCTCCGTGTTATGGGGGAAAAAACCTGTGGAAAAAAGTGACCTGTCCTCAGAAAGTCCCTAGTGCTGTGATCGTGACCCACGGCCTCAGGGCCATGCTGGAAACCCCCGAGAGGCCGAGAAAAAACAGAGGGTTTGGGATTTGTCCCTGTTGTMCCCCGCTCTGCCGACAGCCGGGTGACGGGCAGGGAATCGTCATTCCCGAATAATGCCGGTCGGTGTTCCCGCAGCCGACGCAATCCCGCGGTCACTGCCGTGCCTCTGGATCCACGGCAGGAATGTGCAAAGTGCCGGGGGTTTTCCTCCCTCTGTTCACAGCTCAGATCCCCGGGACCGGGCGGGATCGTGCCCATGGCCTGGTTTAACGCCGAGGTCACGGCGCTGCCTCCGCACGGCTCTTTTGCTGATTTCTGTATTATTTTTCGGCGTGGTTTGTGAGCACAGCTGGGATTTCTGTTCTGCTCCTCTGCACTCCCCAATCCCGGGATCGGGGACCGGAGAAATGGTTTCTGGCGGGGGGATTTACGGAGCCAGGTGATGCTCGGAGCCAGCGGTGATGGCAGAGCAGGATTTTGGGGGGTCCTTGGAGGGGTGAGTGCCCCGTGCCTGAGGGGTGGTGGGGTTGAGGTGAAGGGGAGCACGTCTTGAAGGGGATTTGGGTCGTGTTCCAAACCCCATTGGATTTTGTGCCCTCTTTTTCCTGCGTTCCCTTCTCCTGGAGCTGCAGCCCCGGCGCCTGCCGGTCGCTGGTGCTTTGTCCGAGAGCCCGGAGTGCGGTGGCCGTGGCCAAGAGAGCCATGACTGTGACCCACTGACCACTCCTTGCCCACCTGTGTGTCATGAGGGGCCATGGCAAGGCCGCTGGTGGCTGTGTGTGCCACCTCTCCATCGAGGGAGGGAAGGCGATGCCACATCTGTTTTTTTCCAGTGGAATTTGTAGCTGCAGAGGGGTGGCTGAGCAAGAGGACTTGGCCTGGGGGATCCCACCCGTGTCTCCCTGCTGGAGCAGGGCTGGATCCCAAAACCTCCATGTCCTGGCTCTGGCTGGGACTTTTGGGGTCACCCCCATCCCTACATGTCCCTAGTCCTCTGTATCCTCCCTCTCTGCTCCCACAGGCATCATATTGGGGCCCTGTGAAATAATCACACCCTGTTCCCCCTGGAGTGATTTTAATGTGAATTTTAACCYTGGCRCTRGGGCTGTTCCTGTTTTAATGTGAATTTTAACCCTGGCACTGGGGCTGTTCCTGTATCCCCATCATGCCAAGCCCCTGTTTGGGGTGTTGGGTGTTTGGGTGTGCCASCKCTCGGCCTCGTCTTGCGCCTCTCCYGCTCTCTTAGTTTTCCTCCTCCTGCTCTCCCTTTGTGCCGAGATCACTCCCAGCCCTTCCCACCCCTCTTTTCCAGCCCGTTAAGCCGTGTTAGCAATTCCTCACCAGCCCAGGGCTGCGGCGAGTGGTTAATGGAGAGCAGACACCACCGGGCCGGCGTCGCTGACAGGATTCTCTCTCCGTGCCCGTCTCCGTCTCCGCCTGTCCCTTTCCAGGGACCGCAATTACATTCCCTGCTGGTTGCACATTTGGTATCCAAATGCCGGCCATGCGCCGCATCCTAATGCGAGGATGGGCCGGGGGCATGCGGAGCTGCTGGAGGGTCACACGGTCCCCAGGACCCCTCCTGGATTTTGGGGTGTCCTGGTGGGATGGAGGGTGGGCAGTGGGAACSGTCCAGGGGGTGAGGGATGCCCTCAGGTACTTTGGAAAGCTTTAAAAGCGCTGCTTTTAGCCCATATATTTATACACCTATGTGTTTATATACCTATATATTTATATAAAAATGCACTTATGTCCATATAAATATAAATGATATCATTTATAAATTTATTTATAAATGTGGGTGTTTATTCGCCCCCCCCTCCGCACAAATACACTTTACACACACAAATAACCCAATGCCAACACCCCTCTCTGTGTGCCAACGCTGTGCCACCCCTGTGTGACATTCCCTTGGAATTCCTACCTGGGGGTTCCGGGATGTTCCTGGCTGTGGGTTTACCTGGCTCCAGGCACAGATCTGTCCRTCTGTCCGGCCGTGTCCGTCCCGGTGCCGCGGCTGGAGCCGGATGAAACCGTACCTGCCTGCGCCTGACAAGGTTCAGCTGCCGGGTTGGCTGGAAAATTGCAGCAATTGTTCCTTAAATAGCTCCTCGTTCCTGATGGTGACAATTTCGGTTCTTTTGTGTTAGATATTAATCATGATTTCCGAGGCTCCGTTTTGATCCGAGCTGGTTTTCCCCACTCGGGGCAGAGATCCTGCCCTGCTTGGTTGGATTTAATGGGATTTATGGAAGGCGAGCGGCTCGGAGCGCTGTTACCTTCAGCCCCTAAGAGGAGTTTAAATTCCCTTTCTCCCTTTCTCGTGACCCAATGCTCATCCCAATGTCCATCCCCTTCCCTCTGCCTGGAGATTGATCCCAAAAACAGAACCAGGCCCTGTTTGGCCTCTGCAAGTGCAGCGGGAAGYGCTGTGCTCTGACATTCCCCAGGCCGGATCATTGCTTGGAATCGATGATTTTGGAGCTCTTTCCCAACCCAAAYGATTCCATGATTCCCCAGAGCTGGAGAAATGTTGGGATGAACCGGTGGCCGCTTTGGCCTTTGCCAGATGGATTCCAGAAGCGTCTCTGCAACCCCACAAAAGCCAGGGCTGTGTTTAGGGCCGTCTGTGGGTCCAGACTCTTTGCCACCAGCCCATCCCTTCCACATTTGGGGACCCCATAGCTTTTCCCACCGGCTGGGTG